ACCCACCCTAGAATTGCCAGTACCCAGAACACAGAAGCCCCCAGTCCTGCCAGCAAGGCCTAGGCTCCACTCCCAAGCCTGGAGGACGGGTGCCTCGCCTTCCTTCAGTGCCTCCAGGCTCTGCTCCATGTTTAACCCTGTTGCTGTCCCAACCAGACTTGGTGTCTCACCCCATGATCAGACCCACGGCTAATGCTATGCTCCCACTGCCCCCCTCACCTGTTGACAGGTGAATTGGCAGCTACGGCGGCATTCTGATTATGTGAAGGCCCCACACTGAGTGGGTAAAGCTTTGTCCTTCTCTCACTCTGCCCAAGTCCAGTCTGGAGGTTTACCTAGCCCCATCTGCCAGCTGGCCCCGCCTCACCCAGCAGGCCTTGAATTAAAGGGCCCTGGCAGGCTCTCACTTGACCCTCACTGACCACATCCTCTGACCATGGACCCTCCCCAGGACCTGGATTTTCGAGATCACAGTATCTCTAACCTCTTCTCCCGTTGTACAGATGGGGAAACTGAGGTACGTCAAGTCAGTGGCAAAGAGAAGACTAGGACCTTGGTCTCCTCGCTCCTGGGTCAGCCATATTTCCCTACAACACGGTGCAAAAAACTTAGGGGGTGCCATTAACAATAATAAAAAGAAGCCTTGAGTTTGAGTTTGATTTGGGAGACCTAGGGGAGTCATGGGTGCCCCAGGAAAGGCAGAGGGCCAATGTGAATCCTTTCATCTTTTTATGTCTTAGAATGGCTTCTTTTTGCTTAACATTATGTTTGTTGTTGCAACAAAGCAGTTGTACATTTTTGAATGTAGCAGGGGTTCCTCCTGTATTCTTTTTTTTTTAATTGTAGCAAAAAAACACATAACGTAAAATTCACCCTCCCAACAGTTTCCAAGTGTACAGTATGATATTGTCATCCATGTGCACACTGCTGTGCACCAGATCCCCAGAACCCCCATGCTGCCTCTGTACCCACTGAACAGCTCCCACCTCCTCAGCCCCCAGCCCCTGGCAACCACCCCTCCACTTCCTGTTTCTATGAGTTTGACTACTTTAGATACCTCATCTAAGCAGAATCGTGCAACATATATCTTTTTGTGACTGCTCATTTCACTCAGCATAATGTGTCAAAGGCTCACCCACGTTGTAGCATATGTCAGAATTTCCTTCCTTTTCAAGACTAAGTAATATTCCATTGTATGCATTTATCACATTTTCTTTATCCATTCATCTATTGATGGACATCTGGGTCACTTTCACCTCTTAGCTAGAGTGACTAGTGCTGCAACCAATGCTAATTCTTTAGATGCTCACCTGAATCAGCAAATGAATGCTCTTTGAGCCTCAAAGAGCCCCACGACATTTGGAGTTTTGTTCAGCCTTGGATTGGAACACGGGATGCAACTCGCATGGTTGGAAAGGGGCTGCTGCAAAGGAAGACAGGTGCAAGGCCGGGGTCTAATATCCTGGTCACTGGCTGGAGCCCCCTTTCCATTGCTCTTACACTGCAAGGGTGAGCATTTTGGGGTTGTGGGGACAGTCTTGGATCTGCTCCAGTTTATGCACAATAGTAAATCACTTGTCAGCACCAACCCTTTGCCTGGGACACAGCGCTGCATGGTGGAGGACACGAGGCCTCCCACGAGGGTTGCCAGGTAAAACACAGGATGTGATATTTGGAACACACTTACACTAGAGAATTATTTGTTGTTTGTCTGAAATTCTAATTTCACTATGTGTCCTGTATTTTTATTTGCTCAATCTGGTAACCCTATCTCCTAATACACTGAAGGTGTTCCACATGAGCCAGCACCAGGGCCTCTGCATCCCAACCCAGGTTCCCTCAGGATGGTTGGTGAGGATGCTTCTGACCTCCAGGCCTGGCCTGGAGCCCTGGGTGTCAAGCACCACCTTGCCTTCAGCTTGCTCCTTAAGCCACTCAGTTGACTGAGCCCTCATCCTTTCCTCTCTCCCTTTGACTCTTGGCAGTGAGTCTGCCTGAAGCCCAAAAGGCTGCCCTAAAATCCATATTTTATGATCTCTTCTTTTATCAGGCAACCCCTAAATGGTGATCCTGAAGCCTCATATCCTTCTGCCTCAGTCTCTTACCAGGGGATGAAGAGTGGGCGGCTGGGGCAGACACACGCAGGGGCAGCTGGGGACCTGGCCTTCATGGTGAGAAGGAGTTGGCCCTTGTGGATGGGTTTGGCCAGGTGAGGCTGAAGCATGGGAGTCTCCTGTGAAGGGGAGGTTAGCTGTGCCACTTTGAGCTGGGTCTATGGTACCTCTATGTCCAGAAATCTTCATTTCCAAGAAAATGGGCCTTTGCTGCCTCCTCTGGCAGCTCTGCGCACAGACAGAGGTGCGATAAGAGGGACCACCGAGGCCAGCTCTGGGAGCGTGGAGTGCTCCCTCTCCAAACCACTGTTGACTTCCTTTCTTTCTTTGGCAGAAGGCAGGGCCTGGGTCTCCTTGGCCTACTCACCCCACCCAAGGTGGGCACACAGCAGGCCTCAGCCAATGCCTTTTTCTCCCAGGAGCCCTCTTGCCCCTTAACTGAACTGGCTCCCTGTTCCTGAAGGCTGATAGAGAAGATCCTTCTCTGCGCTAGCTGGCAAAGGGCCGTGGAGAGGGAGGCACTGGTGTGTAGCGGACGACGGGGACTGGAGTTCTGAGACTGGGGAGTGCAGGGTTGGCCTTGGCCCTGAGGGCCTCGGGCCTTGGAGCTGGAGGCATCTGGGCTGGGGCCCAGCAGGCAGCAGATGGCGCCCCAGACCCTACCTTGCTGGAATTTAGTGAGAACAATGGACGTTCAGGGCAGGCCAAGGAGCTCTTTCCTCTCCCCACCCCCACGAGCCTTACACCCATTTGCAGCACAGTCTCAGTGCGTAATTGCACATTGCTTTGGAATTTCTGATTAAAGTTTGTTTCCCATACTGGCCTGGTCTCTCCATAGGGCCATGTGGTCATCATAGTGTCCCCAGGGCCCAGCAGCAGGTGCTCGGTGAGAGATGAATCAATGCAGGCGTGACTGAAGGGTGGATGAGTGGACATTCCCTCCACTGGGAGAGAACTGGCCCTCCAATGAGGGAGCTGCGACCAGGTCAGCCCACACTCCTCCTGTTCTCAGGGGCGGGGACAGCAGAGGTGGGACAGGGGCGCGAAGGCCTAGGAGCACTGATCAGCTGGGAGACCCCTGCCCTAGAGCAGCCAGGTGGACTTACACCAAACCGGTGCAGAGAGGGAGCCCAGAGAAACTTGGGCTGAATGAGGGGCCAGGCCTGCTCCTCAGCCCCCTGCCTTCTCCTGGGAAGGAGGTCAGGGAGGGGTTCCTCATGGCTGTCTGTCCCTCACTCCACACAAGCATAGGTCAATCCAAGGCAACTCAGAGGACAGCTGACAGTCTCTAGGGCTGCACTGCCCAATTGAGTAGCTACTAACCACAGGGCTATTGAGCTTGAAATGAGGCTGTTCCGAATTGAGATACGCTGTAAGTGTAAAACATACACTGGATTGCAAAGACTTAATACAAAAAAAGAACAAAAAGTTTCATTAATAGTTATTTTATATTAATTACATGTTTGATCATATTTTGGATATAATTGGTTACATTAAAATACATTAAAATTCATTTTACTTGTTTCTTTTTACTTTTTTAAGTGTGGTTCCTAGAATTGCATGTGTGGCTTGTGTTGTATCTCTATTGAATGCTGCTGCTTCAGACCCACAGGTGCTTTGACCTCTCCGGTCCCACATTTATCAGCTGGGTCAGCTTTTGGGGGTGGGCCTTGCAGCGCGGGACCCTGCAACACTCTTCTGGACCGCTGGGGCTAAGTGGGCCTGGTGTTGGGCTGGCAGCGGGAGGAGGAGGCTGGGGTGCTGAGCCCAGGGCAGCTGGCCCAGAGCCGACAGCCCCAAGCCACAGGTAGGTGGGCTGGCCACCCAGGAGCCCCCAGGTCTATTTCTGACACCTTCTGCATTGTGGAGTCACAGAACCCTGGATCTGGAAGCGTCCTTGGGGACCTACCGTCTATCACACCGCTGAGAAAATGGGCAATTCTCTGCGGTAAACAACTGTCAGGGCCCCAGGAGCTAGATTCCTTGAGTCCCAACTCTACCCCTTTCCACACAGCCTCCTCCTGGACTCTCAGAGGATCAAGACCCTCCATGCATAGCTTGATCCATCTTGGCATGTGCCAAGCCAACCACCAAGAATGGTCGGTGTCCCTTCCTTCCATCCAGTCCCCTTGGACAAGCAACAGTTTATTCTTCAGGTTTCCACTGCCTGGAAGCTCAAGGAGGGCAGGGTCCTGGTGACACACACGGTACACAACCCAGAACATTGGCAGAGCAAGGTGCGTGGTCAATAGAGTCACTGTTGAATGAACAATGAATGAATGGTGTTACTTCCTCAGAGAAACCCTTCCTGAATGCCCCCCGTCCACAGATGAGCCCAGGCCTCCCTAACTCGCAGCTCCCTCAGCGTCTTTGCCCCTGCTAGTCTGTGAGCTGCCCCAGGGCAGTGGGGGCGGCTACATTCCCCATACCTTCCAGAGCCTGGCACAGAGCAGGTGCTCTGGAAAGAATGAATAAGAAACAAATGTGGGCAAAAATCTTCCCTGATCTAGCAACAGATGCCCGAGGTGCCTCCCAAACCTTCCCACTGTCCCAGGTAGGCGGCTCAAGGAGGTGGGAAAGTCCAGCAGTCCTGCCTTTGATGCTGAACTTCACCTCTTACCGGGTGTGGCTGTGGGTATCTCCCTCACCCACTCTGAATTCCAGGGGACGCCAACAATGGAGAGGAGCAAATGAAATCCTGCCCTTAAGCACGGCCCCTGGTGCATACTGAGTGCCCACTATGACCATCACTCTTAGACTCCTTAGGAGGTAGCAGCAGGTCCCTTGGGGCACCCAGGGAACACCTGCTATTTCACTGAGCCCACTGCTGGGTATGTATATAGGACTCCCTACCCGACTCAGTGCAACAGAGCCTCACACCAGCCAGCACAGAAAACATTGCTTTATTAACTGCGTTTGCCAACACACGAGGAGAGCAAAGGGCTCCTTGAGACACAGGCCCAGGCGGGGGCCAGTGTCTGGAAACCCCCATGAGTGAGCAGGACAGGATGGGAGTGGGAGCTACGCAGCAGGGCAACACAGAATCATGCAGGGCACGGCGGGCACTGGCCACCCCATGGCGGCCATACATTCTATTGCTCATTAAGGGTAGCGAACATGGACAATGTACAAAAAGGAGAAATAGGTCTTTGCGTTAATGAAAAATACATTTTTTCTCTACAAAGGAATCTTTTCTAATACAAGAAAATAAATATTGCAACATAAGCCAAAAATAATTTAAAATTGCTCTTTTCAATATATTTTCAGTATTTCTCTTGTATATTAACAAATGGCACATCACTTTCTTTGAAACAAAGACAGAAGGTGTCTCCTCCTGTGACATTCATATCATCCCCTCACCCCGAGCTGATGTGGAGCACAGAGTGCTGTGCATCTGAGGGACAAGGTGGCAGGAAGTGCCTTAAAGAACAACCAAAGGTCCCAGACTCCAGCCCTGGCTCTTTGGCCAATGTGGCCAGGTAGGCCAGGGGCATGGGAAGTGGCCTTCCCATGGGCCTTGCTACAGGCATCCAGACCATTCTGCAGAGGTGCAGGCATGGGCAGAGGTTGGCCACATCTGGCAGTGAGCAAGGAAATGCCAAGTCCAGCTGCTGCTAGTGTCTGTTAGAATTGGGCAGTTGATTCCGCAGGAATTGCCCCAGCAAGTCCCACAGCGTGCCCATACCCTGCACACGCAGACATACATGCACGTAGACACATGAGACGTGCCCTGGCACACCCCCCACCCGACAGTCCCACACCCATATCTGGAAACCGGGGTGGCTTCTCCAAGGAAACCAAGATCCTTACACTGAAAACGCTCACACACTGTCACAAAGTCAGAGCTCATTTAACAAAATAAACCCTTCTCCCTTTCTTTTCCTTATTTGTTTTAAAATACATTTACGATCCATAAAAATACTTTCCTTGCACATTATCCTTTCTCACTTGATGATGGGGAAGGAGGTGGAGGGCAGTCAGGATGGGGAGAATGGGGCCAACAGCCAGAATGAGTTACAGAGCAGCTTCTCCCTCCCTGAGGAGGGCCAGTGAGTGTGGACAGATGTGGTCGAGAGAAAGGTGTGCCTCAGCCTCTGGCCTGGAAAAGGGCTTCTGCCTTCTTCCCTGCTTCCCGCTTTACCCTCAGGGGTGGCAAGGCTGTCTGTCTACCCTGTAGACAGTAGGCTGGACAGAGAGTGAAGGTGCTGTGGCTAAAGGCAGAAAGGATAGCGGTGGGGACCGGCATCCTTGTCCTCCTTGCAGCCTGGCAGACATTCTAGAGGTGCACAGCTGCCTGGTAGGACAGCTCTAGGGTTTGGCCAGGGAGTGAAGCGGCCCCCACCAGCCAGCCAGACACCTGGGCTCTGTGCAGCACACGGGCTCCAGAGAAAGTCCAGTCCAAAGCAAGAGCCAACTGAGAAGAGGGTCGGAATCCAGAGGCCAACTTGAGCAGAGGCCCCCTGAAGAGTGCTGGCGGCCCCACCTGGCCCCTCTGGTCCAGACCCTGGCTAGACCCACGACACTCTCTCCCTGGTTCCCTCCCTGCTCCTGCCTCTAGGAAGCCAGACTCTGCCTCAGCATGGGTGAAGGGATAAGGGACAAGTGCTGGGTCTCCTGGACCTGAGCCATTCCTAGCACCCCCAGTTCTACCACCGGCAGAGTTTGGTTGTTCTTTAAGCTTGTCCCTTTGCTTCCTGCGAGGTCAGACTGGGCAATCCAGCACAGACGTGGTTGTGACCCGAGGTGACCCAAAGCACGGGGAAGGAGGAAGTTCTGTTCAAAGGCAGTAAACAGAGAATGGGGTTGGGACGCTGATGCTGACACTGCACTGGCCACTACTACCAAGGCGGGCAGGCAGACTAAACTCTACATGGCAGCTCATGCTGTCCCAACGCCCAGAATCCTTGAAGCCCTCTCTGAGTCCACTCCGACTGGACAGATTTGTCCGATTCTCTGAACTCAATCATATCTTTCTTTCCTGTTTTGCTAAAATTCACATGAAACTGAGTGTCGATGACAATGCCACTGTCGTACCTTGATAGTTTTGGAGTCGGGGGTGGGTGGTCAAGCTGCTACCCACCCCGCTGATTTGCACTTGTGTATCTGCGTGGGGAACCACAGGGTAAAGACTTTTGCCAGGCTGGTTTCGCTGTCAATATTCTTCCCCACTGTGAGTCTGAGTTTAGGAGAGCTCACAGGGGGCCCAGCCCAGGATCTGAAATCCAACACCGGGTTCCCAGTTCCAACAGTTCAGCAGCAGAACAGCATCCTCTTCCAAGAGCCTGGGCTCCTCTCCTTGGGTGTGTGCAATAAACATGTTTCTATACTTTGTTGCTAAAGAACTCCATTAAAAAAAAAAGTCCAAGTGACAAGTTGTCAGGTCCAGGCTGTGCTGTATTATGGTCAAAATATTCTTTGGCATCCATAGAATGATTCGATTGATTCACTGGACTTTTGCAAGGTTCTTGATGGAGAAGTTCTGGCTTTACCAGTGGCAGAAGTGACCCAGGAGTAATTCATAAAAGAAAAAAACATGTTTTCACTGAATTCCTTTTTCATTTGTTCCCTGAGCTATCACCCTGGGGCCACTCCACTGAAACTCTTCAGAGCAACTACCTGGGACCTGGGGGGGGGGAGCGGGGAAGGGGAGACGTGGCGGAGGGGAGGACGGGCACAGCTGGGAAAGGGTTAAGGCTCAGAGGGACAGAGGAACCAGGAACATCCAGCAAGACTTAAAACAGCCCCGGCAGGCCACCACCGGCCGCCCTGGGCCCCAGGATCCCACTGCTCATTGGAGGGAGGAGTTTCCAAAAGGAAAACAAGGAAGAAGCTCATCTCGTAGCAGGGCTGGGAAACTTGAAAAGGCAAACGGTCTGGCCTGGTCAGCTGGCTGGGAGTGACCAGACTTCGGCCAAGACTGGCCCCAAAGGAAGGAAGGAAGTTGGAGCCCCAGAGCGATTCTCTGCGGCGTGCGAGTCTGAGCCCCACGCCCCTGTCTGGCCACTGGCCCTCCCTTGCAGCCCTCCGCCGGCACTGGCGGCTGGCTGTTTGGGAGTCCCCTGAGTAAATGGCACAGCTCAGGAAGGATTCTGGGAACCCCTTCCCAGAGCCGCTGGGCTGGGCACTGGCAGGGGCGGAGCAGCAAGGGAGTGGAGGGTCGCGGGGTGGGCGGGCAGGCCTCAGATGATGTGGGTTGATCAGGAACGGCTGTGGTTCCCCTGGAACCGGCGGGCCCTCTGCGCCCCCTCAGTGCTTTCTCGTATAAGCTCGTTGTGCTTGTGACAGTGAGTAGACTCTGGCTGGGTATCACTTATTATACTTCCTTGGGGATCAGTGGAGTGCAGCAGGACCCCCCAAATAGACCCCAGTGGGATTTGGGGGCAAGGCGGGGCAGGCCCTGGGCTGGCCCATCTGCCATGAAATAATGCCCAAACGACAGTCTGTGTCACCCAGTGGCAGCAGGCTGGAGTCCTGAGCTCTTCCTCACCTTGCCTACATCTAGCCAGGAGCCCAGCAGTGCCACGTGGGCCAGGGCGGGGATGCTGCCGCAGCAGGGATGGTGCACAGGGCCTAGTATGGTCCTCGTGGCCAGAGCCGTGGAAGGAATCCTAATGTCCTAGGCCAGCACAGAGGAAAGACAACAGTGTGGAATTCGAAACTCTCTCTATATTAAAAATAAAACCACAACAGAGTGGCAGCCTCGAGGGTCTGAGACACTCAGCAGAGATTGGAAATGGCAGTTGTGACTAGGCTGAGGCCTCGTGGGGGGACCAGGGCAGGGCCCAGGACAGGGGCAGGGGTAACTTAGGAAGCCAGTACCCCCATGCGGACCACCTCCTCAGTCCCTGCTTCCCGGGGACCCCGCTGCACCCCGCTGTCCTCGGCCTCCACATCTGAGTCGCTCATCTCCCCATCAGAGAAGTAGCCATCAGTCTCAGTGTCAAAGTGTAGGCTGACCTTTGGCCTCTCGGCCACAGCTGAAGGCGGTCCTGTCCCAGCATCAGGCCTGGCGCCTGGTGATCTCCGGGTTCCCTTGCTCTCACGGGGCAGCCGGAGCCGGCTTGAGGGCTTGGGGCTCGCTGTAGGGCCAGGCACTTGGACATTCAAGTCGGCGGCCATTGGGGCCGCCTCGTCCGGGGTCTCGGGGGCCAGCGGTGGGGGGCTGTCAGGGGCTGCTGGGACAGGACAGTCCCCAGCTGTAGGACTGGATGGCAGGTGAGAAGGTGTTCGCCGTGGTGGTTTCCTGGCAGGTGTCCCTTGACCCCCTTTGCCGCTGCCTGCATCCTGTCCCCAGGGTTTCTTCTGGGGTTTGTCTGGAGTCGTCCGTGAACCAGGCCCGTCCTGTGGTGGTTTCTTCTTGGCAGGCAGGCGGGTGCGGCCGCGGGCCTTCCTGGCAGGGTCGCTGGGTCGCAGCGAGGGGTCCCGCATGAAGCTCAGCAGTGTCTCCTCGTCTTGCAGCAGCTCCTCTGACAGCAGCCCCGGAGCGGGATCTTCACGGTGCCCATTGTTTAGCGACCACTCGCTCATGGCCATGTTCTCTGCTGTGATCTGCACGGACTGTGCCAGCCAGCTGTTAAAGAAGGTGCCATCGATGGGGAAGGAGGTGGACAGGCCTGGCCGAGGAGAGAGGAGCAGGTGAGAGGCCAGCACGTGTGCGTCCCACCCTCTTGCAGAAAGCCCTCCCTGGCCCTCGCCAGCAGGCCACTGTGCGCCTTTCTCCCTCTTTCCCTCTGTGCTGGGCCCACTTGAGCCATCTTGTTTCATCCATTCCTCCCACCAACACCACCAAAGTGTACGGTCCACGCCATTTACCCGTCTCCCTAGGATATCCTACTCTCAGAACTGGGTTCATAATTTGTGGAGCTGAGTGCAAAGTGAAAATGCAGGCTTCCTGTTCAAAAATTATTTAGAATTTCAAGGTGGCAACAGTAGAGCATTAAACCAAGTGAGGGCCCTTTGAGACTGCAGAGGTGCAGTGCACACCCATGAAGCTGACCCTGCCCAACACCACATCCTGGGGGCGCAGAGGATGGAAGAATGGAGAAAAATGCCCTCCGGCCACTAGGGGGCGCTGGGTTGCCTCAGAGCTTCCAAAGCAGGAAACTGGGATAAGGGTGTCAAGCATGAATAGTGCAGTAGGTATATCTGGGTAGAAGGTCCCTCTAGGACATCAGGGCCAGCTCTAGCTACAGGCCCTCCCTCTTTTACTGAGGTCTTGGGAGGGGCAGCTGGTGAGACTGAGTCTCCCATTAGACACCCAAGTTGTCCCCTTCCTGAGACTGAGGGAACTAAAAGATGACCGGGGACTTTGGTGCTGGAGGGGAGGTCTAAAAGAGGTCTCCACCACAAATCCCTGAGAAGTGTTCTAGAGGAAGCACGTGGCATCCTGGGAGATAGAGCCCAAAGCTGGGGGCCTCTCAAGAACTGCTCTGGGGCTGGCCCCGTGGCTGAGTGGTTAAGTTCGCGCGCTCCGCTGCAGGCGGCCCAGTGTTTCGTTGGTTCAAATCCTGGGCACGGACATGGCACTGCTCATCAAACCACACTGAGGCAGCGTCCCACATGCCACAACTAGAAGGACCCACAATGAAGAATACACAATTATGTACCGGGGGGCTTTGGGGAGAAAAAGGAAAAAAATAAAATCTTTAAAAAAAAAAAAGAACTGCTCTGCCTAATGGGACAACAGTAAGGAGGCTAGTAAAAGCGACGATGGGCTGGGCCAGTGCCGGTGTCCACTTCTTTGGGTCTCTCTAGGTGGCTTCAGGATGGTTTGCTGGTACTGAAGAGAGGGCCCATTTAAGAAGACGCTGGCAGTGGGACAAGGATGGAGAATTCTGGCAGATCCTCAACTCCCTGCATGGGGCTGGGTTCCTAGAAGGGCCCAGATGGCCTTGAGGTCCCGTAAACGCCTCTGGGAAAATCTAGCATTCAGGACCCTAACCAGGGAAATGAGGGGCAGTTCCTGAGCTCCTGGACCCAGCCTCGAGGTCTACAAAAGGGGAATTTCTCAGGATGCCAGACCAGGCTCTTACACCCTAGTCTCCTTTATGGCTGGAAAGTATGAGCGCCTGGGCAAGGAAGGGCCTGGTTACCCTCTTGGGCCTCCCACTCTGTGCAGTGGGGGTGCTGGTGGTCCCTGTTGACCTTACATGGAGGGCTGCAAGTGGAGTGATGGTGTGAGCTTGGCTGTGTCTGCCAGGCCAGTGTGGCCACTCACTCACCCAGCTGCCCCAGGACTGAGTCCGGCCCCACTTTCACTTTTTCTTTCTTCTCAGGGCTGCCTTTTGGGCCCTCGCGCCCTTTCCTTTTCGAGTCGCTCTTCTTGCCCTTTGCTCTCCTCCCAGACCGCTCTGCATCAGGGAAAGAGACAGTGGGAGGGAGGTATTTACTCCGAGTAGCCTCACCGAGAATAAAGATCACTGCATGTTCTCCCAGGAGTCTTCCCTCACCTGGGGCCCCACCTTCCAGGTCACCTCACCATGCCTCTGTGCTCCAGGCTCAGAGCTGTGGGGGGCCTGGGATAACTGAGGCTCCAGTGAGTCAGGGGGCAGCCGGTATGGGAGAGAGGGCTAACTGCCCACTGCTGCTCTTGAGGCACTTAGGGAGGGCACAGGGCCACGAAGAAGGTGGAGGACCACCCTGTAGGACCTGGACTGCAATCTGATCTACATGGCCTACAGATCTTGGGAGAGTCCTGAGGGGTGGGAAGGTTGGTTGGAGCTGAGTGGACAGGGCAGGGCCTTGAATGCCAGGCTGAGGAGTCAGACATGAAGATAGAACACTATCAGAGGAGTCCAGAGGCTTGGGTTCCAGTCCTGACACAGTAGTCAGGCCCCTTGAATAAGTCTCCTGCCTTGGTCTCCTGGGCTGCTTTCGAGGTCAGAGAGTAGATGGGAGATTCGGGGGTGCACACCTGGCCCTCATATTCTTTCAGTCCATGACCACTTAGATCTAGGGAGCCAGAGAGAACACTGGAGTACAGGAGGGACATCTGGAAAGGGGAGGCCTAGCTACCAGGAACCTTCTCCCAGCTTCTCAGCCAGAGGCTGGAGGGCTTCCTGAATAAGGGGTTAAAAGAGGTTGAGGGTGTGACCTCATCTCCAGGAATCTTCTAGCTCTGCTGTTAACTCCTTGTGCAACTTCAGGCCAGGCCTCAGCCTCCTTATCTATAACATGGGACCAGCGTCTGGAAAGTTTGGAGGGAGCTTTCTGAGGTCCCCCACTGCCCTCAGGATAGTCTCCTTCCAAGAGCCGCAAGACCTTGCACATCTGACCCTGGCAACCCCTCAGCCTCACTTCAGACGTCTTCCTTCTATCCTGGTGGCAGCTACGCCAGCCTCCTTCCAGCTTCTCTAACAAGACAAGCTCTGGCCTCTAGGTTTCCAAATATGCTGTTTCCTTATCCTGTCCTTCACCTGGTTCAGCTCACAGCCTAAATATCACTACCACTGGGAAGCTGTCTCCAGCCCTCTGGCCAGGTGGGCCTCAGCAATATGCCTGTAGCCCGTGTTCCACCTCAGGGGTCAAGCGTCACAACACTGAAGGCATCAGCTTTGGGCAGAGGCAAACTAGCCTTCTCTCCAAATGCCCTGCCTGGAACAAAGGGCTGCCTGTTGCTGCCACTCAGGTCTGGGAGCTGTAAATGTCCCTGGACTCAATGTGGAGATACAGACCCACCAAGCTCTTGATCGTGTTTCTGGAATCCTGTGCCTGAGGGCACTGCACGTCTTGCCACTCTCTGCTGCCTCTCCTTCTGTAGCTGGATGTGTGGCCACAGCAAGATCCTAGGACGCCTGAGATGTTGTTCCAGAATCACCGTTGCCGTGAAGCCATCCCTGATATGGCTGTCATTGCACTGGCACCAACTGCAGCCCCTTGGGCACCACTTTCCTTTATCTTTCCAGATGGTGAGCTCTAAAAGGGCAGGAACCTGGTCCGTTCAGTCCGTGGCAGCATGCCCTGCAGTGTCTAGCACAGGACCCGGCACTCTGCTGATGCTCAGTTAGTGCTCATTGAAAAATTAACAGACAAGAGGGAACCCAGAAAATTCTGGCAGCCAGGAAGGTGCCATACTCTTGGGAGGGCATGGTGAACTCTGACCCCTACATGGCCATGACCTGGCCTGACCCAGCAGCTGTACTTGGCAGTGCTGGATTCTCGGGCCAGAGTGGGCAGTGATCCCAGGGTGCAAATGAGGCAGCTCGGCTCTCGGGCAGAGCTGTGCTGGCAGTGGCGGCTCCTGGCTCAAGATCTCTCTCCATCCAGCTATTTCTGCTGCAAGAATTCAACATGAGGGCACCATTTTTTGAGTTAAGCTTTGCCCTCCTTAACACGTCCGGGAAGGGCCTTGTGTCTGGAAATATGCACACAACTAACAGATGAGACCCATGTCAGAGCTTCTTCGGCCTTTGATTTCCAGATCTGTGAAATGCACGTGATGGCAAGAGAACAAGAAGAAAACCGAGAAAAAAAATGCTGGTGCAGGGCCTGAATGCCATCGGATGAGGTCAGAGACAAAGAATGCCCAGGTCCTTTTCCATCTCTGGGGCAGCTGCCTTCTTCAGGATTGACAGGCACACACACAGCACTTTAGGGAAGCCCGTCAGCTTTGGGCCCTTCCTGCCCAATACGTCTAGAGCCACTAGGACTCTGGGTTTGCACCCATCCATATGCAATTTACTCCTGAACCACTACGGCCCTGGCACTACCTGGGCGTCCCCAGTGAACCAGAAAGCTCCGTGAGAGCTGGCCTGATGCCCACATTCCAACATTCCAATCTCCAGCTCCTTGCCTACCAACATACAACTAGGGCCCTGGGAGGTCCCCATCTTGGCTTACTAACTGGACATGGAGGGTTAGGGTGGGGGGCCAGTGGCCCCTGGCCCCACACACATGCCCCCACCAGGTCCCGAAGACACATACCCTCCTTGGGCCCTAGCCCCTTGAGAGTGTGGACACTGAGAGGGGGCTGGCGGTGGGTAGGGAAGGTGCCTACCTCGACACAGATCTTGTTCAATAAGTTTCATCTGCAGGTGGAATATCTGCTCCTGGAGCTTGCAGATGGCGTGTTTCGTTCTTTCGCGCCTTGTCACCATGTAGCACAGATTTCTAACCTGAGGAAACATAAGAAAGATTTTCCACCTTACTCACGGGCAACTACCCCTGACCTCCCAGCTCTGGGGCCACTGCTGCCTGACCTGCCCAGGACATCTGGGAATCAGTTCCCAGACCCTGAGTGCATCCTCAACCCTGAGCTACAGTTCCCTGATCCAAGACACAGGCTGAGCACAGCCTTGGCCCTGTGGCCACTGGCTGAGCCAGAGTGGGCAGGGAGAGCACCTAGTTAGTTCAGACTGGTGACTCTCCCTTGTTCCTCTCGGCCTTAACTTCCTGGCCGAGTCAGCCACACTGCCCCCCTAAGGCCCTTCCAACTGGCTGCTCTCCCCTATATATGCAGTGCCCCAAGGCTGACTGGGGGCCTCATAAGGTCACCAAGTCCACCCGTCTTCCTCCTGTGCAAGGCCTCTTTCCCATGAAAGACACTCGTCAGCCACAAGCACCACAGCAAAAACCACCTCCGATCCTGCGACATGAATGGTCATGGCACATGGAGCAGAGACAACTCCAGGAGAACAGCTTCGAGCAGAGAGGCAATCCCTGACCCACCTGGGCCCAGCCTGTGGCTGACCCATGTCCACCTGCTACACTGGGACCTGAGCCAGGCCCACCCCTGCTTTGGCCTAGGCCCCCACTCCACATGGCCATGTTCGTTTAGCCAGAGACAGAAGCCATCAGGGAGAAGGGCAGGGGCCTCTCCAACTCCCGTAGGCCAGCTAGGAAGAAGAGCCTCTTAGCGCCTAGGAGACCAGTCTGCTTAGCCCGGGACGTGGACCCACCCTGCAGCTGGTCTGGAAGCACCTAAAGGATGGGCTGTGTTGCTCCCTGTCCACCTGGCAGCTTTCCCCAGCGTGCCGTCCCTCAACAGCTGCTCTCAGGGTACATCACACTTCTGGGGCCAAGACCAGGCCCTCTCCTTTGAGACATTTCCTTGTTCTGGCATCATCTTCAGCTCAGTTTGGAGCCTCCAGAGCAGGGACAGCTGGCCAGGAGCTGCTGAACTGGAATTCTGGGTCCCATGAGGGTCTTTCCAGCTGGAGCTAATACCTCTGCCTCCAGCTGGGTTTCATCTTCAAGGCTGAGTTCAGTCTTCATGTCCTTAAGCTGCCTGGGGCTGACCTGTGGGTTCCAGAGCCCCCTCCTGTTATCATGACCACCATGTCTTGTGGCCTGCAGGTAGCCAAGAACAGACCTCTTTGCTGGCACAAGTGTCCTTGTCCCCTTCCTGAGCCTAGCTGTGAAGGAGATCCCAGGTCTGCTCCAGTCTCAGGCTTCCACAGGAAGGGCTCTGCATGGGCTCTTTGCAGTACTCCAGGCAGGTCGGGGCACCTCAGCCTGGACTGTGAACACCAGGCCATCCTCGAGGCCAGCACCTCCCCAAGGGGCAGCCGCCTGGGGAAGAGAGCCCTTGCCCTGGCAGATGGGCACTGTCTGACTTCCTCTCAAACCCTGGGCTTCCTCAGGACCAGGATCTCCTTCTAACCAAGCTCGTTCCACGCGTCCCTAAACACAGGCTGCGGCTCTGTGAACTCATGTTGTGTTGTGCCCTAGGCTCAGCGGTGAGCATTGCCATTGGGGTCCCTTTCTTCTGAGGGCTTGCTGCCTAGCAAGGAGACAGATGCTGACCAAGCACTGACAGGACCCAGACTTGGGGGTGGTGAGAAGGCTTCCTGGAGAAAGGGGAAGCTAGGCCAAGTGGGAGTTACTCGCCGAGGGACATAGGCTGGGGACAAGGACCCAGAGTAAGGCCAGGCAGGGGAGAGGCAAGGTGAGGCTTTGTGGCTAGAGTGTCAGGCTTTGAGGCCTGAGCCAGGCCAAGGGGAGTTGAAGAAGGATTTAGTGGGGGTGGGTTGGGGTAAAGTGTCTGTAAGTGCTGAGACCCCGGAGTCATCCATAAGGAGCCAGCTCCTCATCTGCCCCCAGGGCTGAACCCTCAGTATCCCCATCAGTCCCTCCTGGTGACGTGACTCCTCCCCATCAGCTCCCTCTACTTCCAAGTCATCCCCATCATCTTCGCCTGGACAACTAGCCATTCTGCTACCCCAGAGCAATCTCCTTGAAATGGAAATGGAAATCTTCTTAAAATGTAAATTCTCCTCCCCTTAAAACCTCCAATGGCTTCTGTACTGGGTTCAATCATTCCCCCTGCCAAAATTTATGTCTACCTGGAACCTCAGATGTAATTAGTTAAGATGAGGTCACACCAAATATGAATGAACCTAAACCCAGTGACTAGTGCCCTTATAAAAGGCCATGTGAAGATATACAGAGAGAATGCCATGTGACGACAGAGGCAGAGACTGGAGTCATGGGTCTACAAGTCAAGGAAGGTCAAGGGTTGCTGGCAACCACCAGAAGCCAGGAGAGAGTCACAGAAGACTCTCCTTCAGAGCCTCTAGAGGGAATCAACCTTGCTGACACCTTGATCTCGCACTTTTGGCCTCTAGAACCGTGAGAAAACAAATTGCTGTTGTTTAAAGGCACCGAGTTTGTAGTACTTTGTCACAGCAGCCCTAGGAAACCAATACAGCTTCCTTCCTGTCACACCTAAAAAATCAGAGTCACAGCCCAAAGCCTTGCCCAACCTGACCTCCCACTGTCACCTCACAGCCTGGGTCTCACGGTCCTCCAGGCTCAGCTGCACTGCCCTCCAGTCTCCTTCTTTCGGCCTTGGGGCCTTGGTATATACTCAACTCTTAGCCCAGAATGCTCTTCACCCCTCTCTTCCCAAGGCTGGACCTCGTCCTTTAAGTCCTGGCTCAAATGTCATCTCCAAAGGCCTTCCTTGTCCACTGCATCTAAGCAGCCCAGCATTTTCTCCCTGCATCCTGGTCTGTTTCCTTACTGGCAGTCACATGGCCTAGCACACATGGGGACAGTGGGGAATTCCACCGCTCTTTGGAGGCCTCAGAACAAATCAGTCAATATATGCAACCTGAAAACAGATCAGTCAAGGTCAAGCTTTTAAAAATTTTCTCAAACATGCTATTCTGGAGTTTACTCCACCCTTAAAGGCAACCTGTAAAGATGAGGTGGGGTTCAGAGTTGCAGAGATCTCCCCTAAAGAACCAAGAGTCATTCTTAACTACTTCCTATTAAAATATAGATGTAGTTATTTTTGTCTTCCATCTGAAACTCTAGAGCAAGGTTTCTCAAGGCAAGCCCAAAGGAATTACTGGCATCAAGATCCCTCAGGTGGCTGGTGAAAAACACAGATTCCCAGACTTGGGAGAATATGAAACTCTCTGGGGGTGGGGCTCTTAAACATACATTTTATATAGCACTGTGGCATCTGAGAACCGCTGTCCTCAGCCAGGGGCCTCTAAAGAGAGCTGCACAGGCTACTGAGCCAGAGTTTATCACGGTATAGGAAGAAATATTAGAACTTCCACTGGTATACTTTTTGATCACATTAGAAATTCTGATCACGTTTGTTTCACATCATATGGTGTTAGATATGAACGAGATATCAAAAATACAATATACTGCAAGTAAATGCTCAGGCTTTTTTCCTAATAAGGGTACACTACACAATCAGTACTATCCGGAGATTCCTGATATAGCATATAGAAATGCTTCCTTCTGTGAGAATCCCAGTGATGCCAACATTCTTTGGCTGGTACATTGGTCACACGGTGACCCCTTATTCCCATCTCACCCTGGAATCATCAACTGCTTCTCTAATTTCTCCCAAGACTCTTGTTAACATAGCTACATTACCAAATGCTGTAGAATTCCTCTTCCATGATAGCTCTTGGGGACAAAGTATTGATACCACCTTAGAAGATCACCAAGGTCATCAGGCTCCTTACAGTGTCATTATTGTTTTTTCTGACTATAGAGATAAAATTCTTTAAAAAAAAAAAAATCAGTACAAAAATGAATCAAGTAGAAAAGTCCCCAAAAACTCAGGCAAGAGTTGGTAATAAAAGCAGGTTTTAGGGGCCGGCCCGGTGGTGCAGCGGTTAAGTGCGCACGTTCTACTTCGGTGGCCTGGGGTTTACCAGTTCAGATCCTGGGTGGACATGGGACCGTTCAGAAGGCCATGCTGTGGTAGGCGTCCCATATATAAAGCAGAGGAAGATGGGCACAGATGTCAGCCCAGGGCCAGTCTTCCTCAGCAAAAAGAGGAGGAATGGTGGCAGATGTTAGCTCAGGGCTAGTCTTCCTCAAAAAAAAAAAAAAGCAAAAGCAGGTTTCACATTTTGATGAAGTTGTTTTGATATCAGCAAGTTTTGCAGAGAGAACCTGGATGTGGGATGAGGAGGGGGGATGGATAGGGAGGACTCCCAGCCAGTTATCTTGAGCTAGAATGGACCACTACTGGGGCATGCACGGGAAATGGGGAGGTTGTGGGAGGAGCAGGCTTGGATCTGTGGGCGTGTTGGGCATGAGCCTCTGGAACTCAGAAGGGAGGCGTGGGCTGAAGCCAGCTTCCTGATGAGGAGCAGAGCCATGGAGCAGATGCAGCACTGAGAGGTCAGGCAGGTGTGGTGAATGATCACTGGGACCAAGGCACTCAGAGAGGGAGCAGGACAACCAGGTTATTAAGGGGGGATCTGGTCAGAGCATCCACAGAAAACGTATTTCAAGACCAAGAGTGCAGCCGGCCATGGCTGAGTGGTTAAAGTTCCACACACTCTGCTTCAGTGGCCTGGGTTTGCAGGTTCGGATCCTAGGCGCAGAGCTACTCCACTCATCAGCCATGTTGTGGAGGCATCCCACATACAAAATAGAGGAAGACTGGCACAGATGTTAGCTCGGGGCGAATCTTCCTCATCAAAAAAAAAAGAGAGAGAGAGAGAGACCAAGGGGATGTTTGACTATGGCAAACACTGCTGAGAAAGCTAGGGGATGAGGATGGAGAAGTGGCCACTGGATGGACGTAGGGAGATGGAGGCTGCTGGTGGCCCTGGTGGAGGGTTCTGGAGTATGGTGGTGGCAGGAGCCTGGCCAGAGTGGGAAGTAAGAGCAGTGAGGGAATGACAGGAAAGGAGAGATGGGGATAGAGGTGGAGAAACCTACACTAGCGGGAGATGGGGAGGGAGGACTTGCTTCCAAAGATGGGAGAAGGTGAAAGATTCAATGCTGGTGGAGTCCTGGAGATGGAGAGGAGATGAAGAAAAGACAGAGCCTCTGGAGCTGCAGGGTGTGGGCTGGGGGGCAGGGAGGAGATGGAAGGAAAGGGCAGAGAATGGATGCAGACAGCTCTGCTGGCACAAAGTTGCAGGGTTCTGGTCTGAGGAGCAGCAGGTGAGGTTGTCTCCTAAGAGAACGGGGAGCCCTGAAGAAGGTGGAGCAGGGTGGAGACAGGTGGGGGTTGGGGAGCCCAGAATGTTGCTGGCTGGTGTCCTGCCATGTCTGGCTGCCAGGCACCTTCACGGGGCTCACTGCTCACTGCTACAGGATGGCTCCTGGTGGGCAGAGTAGCTCCTACGGGGTAAGACACTGCCAGGGGTGTGGCCTCCACCCAGGGCCAAGGGCACAGGCAGGGAGCTAAAGCCAAATGGGGTGGGAATGAAGAAAACAGGGGACAGAAGGGTGGTGACCCTGGGAGGGGACTGAACAGGGAAAGCAGGAGGCTATGGTTAAGAAGGATTTGGGGACTTGGGGACCAGGGAGCAGTTGGAGGGGTGACTGGGCATGGGGCGTGGACAGTAACGGGTTGGGACTAAGGGTCCCAGAGATGGGAGACGTAGGGGTTGAGGAGCCAAAGTTCTGGAGGCCGAGGCTGCCCTGGACAAGGTGGGCTTTGGATGGAGGCCAAGGAGACCACGACCCAGGCACTGAGGACAGAGGAAATGAAGTGTGACCTACCGACAAAGTAGCAGGTGGCAAGTGTAGGAGAGACAGGATTTTCCTCTCCTTGGGAGAGCTACGAAAATGAGGCCTCGGAGAACTCCTCCATGTCTATCCCTGGGGGCTGGTGTGTCTGAGAGCTGCCCCCACCCTCTCAGCCCATCTAAGGCCAGGTCAGGCTCTCAAATAAACTCCCGGTAACCAGGTCCAGAGCCACAGGCAGCGAGGCCCTGTACAGCCCAAACTGCCAGCTCGGTTGCTAGGGGACACCAGCGGCGTGTGCCGGGCATCATCATTGGTGCTGCAATTTTTTTGTCAGCTGTGAATAACTCAAGGAGGCCGCAGCGGCCATGCCTTCCCGAGCTGCCTGCCTGGACCAAGGCCCATGGCCGAAATTCTAGGAAAGCACATCTTCTGAGCTGACCATAAAATGAGATTCCACGGTGGTGGTGGCAGCATGACCCCAGCTCCAGCTTCTCTCAGCAAAACTCCTGCCTGGCCTTGGGGGACAAATCAATCAGGGAGGATGCGCTGTGATTCCTGGGCCCTTGCACTGGGCCTGCCCTTTCAGTCATCCATGGAGCCCACCGTCTGAGCAGCCCACCCTTCTAAGAGCCAGAGCAGCAACAAGAACTGCCACTAACCACAGAGGGCACTGTGCTCCCACCTTCTCTGTGACCCCAAGGTCGTTTCAGTCCTTATTCCCATTTTACAGACAGGGAAACTGAAACTCAGAGAAGCAGAAACTGAAACTCAGAAGGCACAGAGCTGGGAAGTGCTGGAACTGGATGCAAACCCAGGTTACCCAAGCTCAACCCTGACCCTGCCTCCCCAGTGGATCCAGCCCAAGCTGGCCTGGTGCCCAGTCAGGGCCTGGACACTCTTGGCCATTGGCACTGGGCCATGGTCGGAGTTGGGGACCACTGGCCACACCACCCATAGTCACGGGTCTTTGCAGAAAGCCTCCCCGTGGCACAGTTCTCAGCCCTGTCCGCTCACTCAAGTCACTAATGCGCGGCTGTGGAAGGCCCGGAGGCTGGGCCCAGAGGGGGTCAACCCGGCACATGGCTGTCTCTGACTCTCCCCTCTCAGCCTGCCAGGGCTCTGCACTCCCTCGCCTTGCTCTCAGCTGGCACCCGCCAGCCCAGCTCAGTGGCTGTTGGAGAAGCAGCATTTTGACAGGGCTCTCCTGAGCCCTAAGAAGCTGCACAGACTTCAAAGTCACCCTGCCTCCTCTCCCTGGAGGAAGAGTGGGCTGGCTCACACCTGACTTTGCAAGGCTCTGTCCCCTGACCAGGAGGTCTGCGCGGCAGCTCTGGCTGCTGGGAACCCCAGAGCCTGCCTAGGTAGGCCCAGTGGCGTCCTTGCCCTTGACTGCTGTGGCCCCTGGCCCCACTGTACCAGCTGACCATGGGGTTGAGAGGTTGGAGGACTGATAAGGGGATGCTCTTGCCGAGGAAATGTACAACATAGAGAATAGCCAAAAACTCTTTCTGACAACCTCCTTTGACCATTCAGATCCAAATTCAACTGAAATCCTGGAAAACACATTCCTCTGAGGCTCCTGTCACTTCATCCCCCTGAGCCCATTTCCTCCTCTGCTCATTAGGGCTGCGAGTATCTACTTCTTGTCTCTTTTTCCAGGATGATGATGAAGTAAGTGAGCCCGCCCCTGGGCCTCCCCACACAGCCTACCCAGGGCCAGAGAGTGGGGTGACCAGCACGGACTAGGGAGGTCAGATATTATGGGTTGTTTGGGAAACAGCAGAAGTAAAACAGGGTATTGGTCCTGGAGACCCCCGGGCTGGAAACTCAGGGACAGCCTGAGGACAACTCCGGATGCAGCGCTGGTCTCAGAAGGGTTTGTACCTCATGCTCCTACGATGTGAAGACAGGAGGCTGGGCTGCCCAGGAAGTGGTGGTTGCAATGTAGGTGGCTTTGCCCTCTGCCCTGGCTCCAGCCAGGGACGTCTGCTGCCCCCAGCCCCACCTCTCCCTTCTGACCTGGTGGCAGGCTGGCTGTCAGGCAGGCAGTAAGCTCCCTCCCAGGCCAACAGGATCATTTCCCCTTGCTGAGGCCTCAGAGCAGATGAGTGGGGTGAAGGAGACTGGTGAAGCTGGGGCCAGGCTGAGCCTCGACCTCACGTCCCCGCCCCCACCACAGTACAACACCTATCAAATTGTTCTACCCATGTTAAAGATTTGCCAACTGAGATGCATGTAAGAAAAGCAGCTGCCTCAGGTCATACAAAGCCCCCTTGCTGCTTCCACCCAGGGCCGGTTCCTAACACAGCATGTGTGTCTGTACCCACGGACGGAAGACACTGTGACACGATCCCAAGTGCTCTGGAACCCCACAACTGAATGTGCCAGAGGAGAGGCCAGAACCACACAGGGGTTCAGGGTACTGGACCAAGGACCCAGAACATCCTGCTTCATCCTTGGATTGACTCCAACTTGGGGATGGTACTTTATCAGATGGAGGTTGGGGGAGGGGAGTCAGAAAAGTCAAGTTCAAGGGCACACCCCACAGAAGGTGAGACTCCCTCACCTTTCTGGGGAGAGTAGGAGGGACTGGAGGCTTTGGGGGACTCTCACTGTCCCCCAACCTCCACAGCCCAGCCCCAAACCATGGGGTCTATGCCCCCTCCTCATCTCACTCAGCTTCCAAAGCTACACGCCAGACCAAGCCAAGATCACCTGTCTCCGAGCACAGAGCTAGAGTGTTCCAGTCAACCCACCCATCTGGGTCCTGTGATTCCTCCTCCGGGGTATTTGGAAGTTGCAGCCACAGCGGGACAGACCCTGCTTAAAATGCTTCTGCAGCTTCCACACTTTGGTCCACCCACCTAGCCCCATCCGTCTTTCCACTCCACAGGCGCTGTGTCTCCAGCCCACCCTCACGCCCCCGTGCCTCTGCTCATAGTGTTCCCTCTCATCAGCACTCCCGGGAGCCATGTTCATACCTGTCTTCTCTGCCCTGGCTCAGTACATGCTTGTTGGGCTGATTCATCTTGCTTGCGATTCCCAGTTCCTCCCCTGCCTCTAATTCAAAGCAGAAACTAATGTGTTGGGACCAGGCAGTGCCCACAGAGGCCATAAATAGGGCGAGAGGCCACTAGAAGCTGGAAGCCTGGGTTCTTGCCCCAGCTCTGGTGCCCTACAGCTTCATGACCCCAGCAGGGCCCCCATCCTTCACCAGGTCTGGGAAAAGGGCTGGGACGAGAGGGACTCCGAGACCCAAGAGCTGGACCCTCCCCTGTTCTACAAAATATCAGTTACCCCATCCTTTTCAAGACCTTGAGGTCCCCAGCCTCTTGGCCAGAGCTCAGTGTGAGTCCTGGTGAGCCGCGGCAGCTCCAGGGCAGTGTGTGCGGGATGGAAAGACCTCTTGGGATGCCCACTGGGCAGCCAGGCGGGTGGGCGGCAGGGGAACTCACCCTCTCCAAGTCCTGCCGCAGGTGTGTGAAGAGCTTCAGGCGGCGGTAGAGCACGTCCTGCTCCTGCTGGGCCAGGTTGTCCACCTCGTCGGTCTTGGGGGTCAGCAGTGGCTGGTTGGCATTGGCTTTCCTCTTCAGCTTCCAGTACTGATAGATGAAGTCGACCAGCGCCTCAGCCAGGTCCAGGCGCTCAGCCACCTCGGCTGGCTCCACCAGTTCGTAGAAGTCCTCCTCCAGCTGCTGCAGCCGCTGCTTGCGTAGGGTCACCTTCTCCAGGTCCTCGCCGGCAGGGCTGGGCTCCACAGGCTCAGACGTGGGGTCACCCCGCGGGCCCCCATCACTGTGCTCCTGGCAGAATGACTTGAACTTGACCTCGTCGTTGTCGGCTAATATAGTCCGCATTTCTAGGCCATGGTCAAAGGCGCATGTGACGTGGAACGCTGTGACGCAAGCAGGCATGGAACACTGGAGGGAGAGGAAGGGCAGCGTCAGGCAGGAAGGGAGCCCTGGTGGGAGGGGGGAAGGATGTGGGGCTTCCTCTGGGGTTCAACTGAGAACGAAGGATGCTGCTGGGACCCTAAATAAAAAGGAACGAGCTCCCAACATCCTGCAGGGGGTATGGAGGGAGCCACGGCAGGTGGGAAGGGGGAGCTCTGAGGGAGCCAGAAAGGAAAGGAGGATCAGCACCACATACCCTAGGGAAGGCAACAATCCTGACTGGGCAACCCCTCTGGGGACAAGCTGTACTCCTGTGTGGGCAAAATGACTTTGGAATCAGAGGCATCAACAGAAAGAGACTGGTGATGGATCACTTCCTCCTCTACAATGTCATCTAAGATGGGAGTTGTCTTCTCCTTTGTCCTCTGGGAAGGGGGGACGGGAGCTGGACCCCTTCCTTCTTCTCTTGCCCAGGCAGCCATGGCCAACTCAGGGCCTACCCCTCCTCCCAACCTCAGATGGTGGTGTGGGCAGCTGATTAACTGTTTCTGCAATAACCCACCCAACTGTTAGTGACCATTTAAGCTGCACTCACAAGTCATTTTCTGAGTGTTATAAACAGATGGAGGCACATCAGGTGTTTGCGATGACAACTGTTCCTGAAGAGAGGAGGGGGAGAAAAGATGACCCCCCCGCCTCCCCACCTACAGACCAGCAGCATCAGCATCACCTGGGAACGTGCGAGAAACACAAATTCTCAGCCCCACCCCAGACCGACTGAATCGGGGCTTCTGGGGGCAGGCCCAGCACTCTGTGGACAAGCCCTCCGGTAATACTCATGCACACAAGAATGCGGGAACCACTGCTACTGAGATACCAGTGCAGGCCTCCCTGTTTCGGGAGGGCCTGTTAGCTCAGGTGAAGGAAAAGTTTGATTCTCTCCTTCCCATGTGTCAAGTTTAATGTCAGAAGTGAGGTTCCTGTATTAATTAAGCCTGAAGACACCTGCTCTTGGGGAAGGCCAGCATCCTCAGCGCTGCAACGGCATGGTGAGTCTTGGCTCCCCAGGCCCCACCCTGTGCTTAGAGGAAGTGGGGATGGAGGAACGCCCCTGAGGTGGGGTTCTGACCCTGGTCCCAGTCCCAGGCCTCCGTGGCCCATCGGTGGCTCTGTCTGCAGCACCATAGGGACAGCTACAGGGTGGTAGCAGCTGCCTGTTTTTCAGGGTGTCCCAGACATGCCCCTCTATGCAGCTGGCCCCTGCATGGGCTCCCGGGCAACAGTGGGGTGAAGTGGCCATGTACCTGGATGCAGGTGCCCGTGCACTCCTTGCAGAGGCTGCAGGACAGAGCCCAGCGGTTGGCTGGGATATGCGAGATCTTGGTGATGGGCTCCATCTTCTCGGGGCACCCGATGCTGACCTGGGCGGGACACAGGGAGCTGCATCAGGTCTCTCGTCCTCAGCCTGCCTCCAGGGATTCCCCAAATGGGGGGCTGTCTGCTGAAACCAGGCGGCAGTAGATAGGGCAGTGGGAGAGCCCCTGAATCCCAAGTCCTTCCTGATTGTCCTAAGGTGACCAGTAGGTGAGTGTGTTAGTGTGTACTCACCTCTGACTAGACCTAAATTGTTTGTGACTGTGTGAGACAGTGCACATCAGTGCCTGTAAATGACTGAGTGTGTGTAAATATGACTGTGTGGCCCTCAAGACAGAGGTGCTTCTGTGTGTGTGTGTACATGCATGTGCAGTGAGTACATGCAAGGTCCCCCTCTCTTCTGGACCTCAGACCTTTGTTAACAGCATCTTTGGAGTTCTTATTATAACTTGTATCTATTTTACTTATCTTTTGGGGCTCTAAGAAATGGCCCAAAGCAGCACCTCCTCTTGAAGAGCCTCCAGGGCTTTCCTGGCTGATGGGGATGCGCCTGTTTAACCCTCCTATGGGGACAGGCCAACAACCACCATGCCCATGTCTCCTGGCACAGCCCACCCCTCAGCCCAGAGGCAGGCTACACTTGCCTCCCCACTGTCCCTGCCTGAGGATGGAAGAAGGGCCTCTGTCCAGGGGTCCTGAACCCAAGGGCTCCTGTGGCAGGGTCTCTGTTGGTTCTCTCTGTGCCTGCTGTGCCCAGCCCAGGGTGTACTCAGAGTTAGTCCAGACTTCCAGATGCTGATCAGGGAGCAAGTGACTTTGCTAACATGATCACTATCATCACAGGAGCCTGCCATGTGGATCCCAGCAAGGACTTTCAGACTGGGAGCCCACGAAGGGAGGACCACCTGCTGAGAGGGCCGCCTATCTTGCTTCCGGGCACAGGCAGCGGTGGAGTGGGACCTCATTCTGGGTGAGGGCATGCAGAAGGACCAGGGCTGAAACTCTGGCCAACGTCAGCATCTCACATATCAGATACAACAGGATGGCCTTCTGGGAGCCCAGGGCCTCTAATACACTGTGGGCTCAGCCCGTTGCCTATGGTCCCTTCCCACCTAGACTTATACCCAGGCCCACCGCTCCATCCCAGCCACAGCCACAGCAGCAGGCCCACTATCCAATTTTAATTAGGCTCACTGCCTGATTTCCTTTTAGGTCATTTGGCTTTTTGTTTGGAAAAGGTAGCTTGACTTTGGCTGGAACCACTGCCTAGATTTAGATGGCCCCACAACCTGCTTTCCCCTGTAGCCAGCTGCCTGAATTTTGTCCAGCTCTCAGACTACCACCCAGATCCTCCAGGGGCCCCCGATCCCATTTTCCCATGGAAACCACGACGTGAGTTCTGCTCAAGTCCATAGGCAAAGTTCCTGTGGGCTGCTGTCCCAGGTTCTTCCAGCTTGACAGCTGAGACACCCTCATCTTACGTGGGCCCTTCACCTCCTTTTCCCAGGGCTCTGCTACCTCGTTCTGAGTCCCATGCAGACCCACTTCCCCACAGCTGTTCCCCAGGGCCACCCCACCCGTCTGCCCACCTCAGGAATCCAGAGAGCGCAGCTGACGTGCACCCACTTGGTCCCACTTCTGGTGGGCTTCAGGGCTCCTCCTCGCTTGGGGCAGAGCAGGCACTTTGGCTGGACACCCAGGGCACACGTCCGGCACAGCCAGCTGCCCGTGGGCACCTTGAGGATCCCGTAGCAAGCCTGGGGAGAGAGCAGGGTGGTCACGAGTCAGAGGCACTGGCCAATCTGCATCTGGTCAGCAGTCAGCTGCAAATGGTCCCAGCCGCAGCCCGAGCTAAGAGCTGCAGAGCTACCTGCTACCAGGCTCTGGCAAGAAGAACTCGGGATGGATTATAATGCAAGGGCTCCTCGGAAGCTCTTTGCCTGCGTGTGCCTAAAATGTCACCGTTTCATAGTCCTCTGTGAACAGGCTCAGGTTTGCCCTCTGCTGGGAGGACATTCACTTTAGCCAGAGATTCATAATCAGTGATGGACTTCAGAAGTGTCCGTGAACTCCCTCAAGTTGAATACAAATTTGGGTCTGTATACAGCCTGAAGACAAGGCCCAGCTTTCATCTCTATCCAGGGGATCAGTGAAGGCAGCTTACAGACCTAAGAGCTGCTGGGTATAAGGGATGTGATGAGTTGGGGGGTGCACTGCTCACCCACCTGTCAGCCAGGTGAAGCCCCTCTGTGCTCCCCAGGAGCCATTCCAGCAGCAACGGGTAAGGGGGAGACCTCAAGGTCAGGGCCAGAGTGGGTCCACCAGGTTCCAGTCAGGTCTTCTGCAAACAAGGCCCAGAGATGCCCAAGACCTAGAGCCTTGGGGCCCAAGATCAGGAGGGGGCTCTGCTCAGGCTGTATCTGGTTTATAATACCAGTAACAGGAACAAAAACCTATAGCCCTCACTATACTGTTCTAAGCAAATAATTCATAGTTAAGTAACTTAATCCTTACAACTTACTTTTATTTATAGTTGAGGAAATAGAGGTCAAGAGAGGTTAAGAAACTTGCCCAAAGTCACATAGCTTATAAAGGCAGAGCCATGATTTGAAACAAGGCAACTCGGCTCTTTGCTCTCAATCACCACACTGTGCAGGTCTCTTTCTAAGTTCAGGATGGTGAGAGCAGAGGAGGAGGGGCAGGTGGGCAGGGCATTGGGTGGGGAGGGTCTGAGAGAACAGAAAGACCATCCAATGGGCATTTACTCAAGTCTGGCTGACAGGGGCACCACGGGCACTCACTATCACTTCTTCCTGCCCTGCCCTCCTTCTACAGGCCTGTGCCCACAGAGTTGCTACACTCCTACAGCCAGGATGACCAGCCCCAGGCAGGTGCCCGCCTGGGCAGTGTGTGAGTACAGTGTGGGTGAGGGCAATCAGGGCTGCCCACCTGGTGCACGCAGACGTTGCATTTGTCACAAAAGACCATCTCGTTGCCATCTTCGCCCTCGGGAGAGCGGCACACGTCACAGACAACGTCCTCATCATACTCAATGCCCAGCCCCTCCTGCGTCTCGATGGCGCGTGCCATATTCTGGTGGCACAGTGTCTCCAGCTCCTCCAGCACACGCTCTAGCGTCAGCTCGTCCAGCTCTGGCCTCTCTGTGAGGATGGCAGGGGGTGGTGTTAGGAGCCCAGCCTTTCAGGGCAGATGTATGGGAAGGTTTCCACTCATCGCTGTGCGACCTGGGAAAATGCATCTACTGTCTTGGGCCTCAGCTCCATCATCTGAAAATGGAATGAGCTGGACCATCCAATCTCAAAGGCCCCTAGAGCCTGCTGTGTTTGATTTTAGACAGCATGCTTGCGACCCCACACACATGTATACATGCAGATAGCATGAAAGTGTCTCTGGGATGAGGCTGGCTCCACGGGGAATCCACTGCTTCAGCTGCATATGTAGAGGGGCCCCTGAAGGTGACTGAATATGGCAGAGCTGGCCCTTCTTTCGGGACATGTGAGTGGGCTCCAGCCAGGAGGCCCATACCAGCTGACTGTGGCCCCATTTGTCATCCACGACCACTTGTGTGCTCACTTAATTTTCAGAGTTCTTGGGAGTATTGTACTAAGTGTGACTGTTACAGGAAGAGTATGTGCTATTACTGCCCTCACCTGACAGCTAGAGAAACTGAGCTGTACAGAGACACCAAATCACTTCTCCACTCAGCAGTGTAGCAGGGACTTTCCCCCACATCTGTGATGGCCACTGCCCTTCTGAGGTGAAGATGCTGGGGTCCAGAAGAAAACCCTCCCTGGCCCAACCCCGCCCCATTCTCAGCCTGGTAAGTCACCTACCCATCTCCTTGAGCTCCAAGTTGATGAGTTCCAGCCAGTAGGCGTCAATCTCGTCCAGGTCATAGCGGCTGCCCCCTGGCCAATCAGGCTGGGAGCCCTCGCCAAGTTCGGAGCTGCTAGGGGACACCTGGGGAGGGGGGCCTTCCAACTGTGGGAGGATCCTAGGAAACCAAGAGGGGGTGTCATGAGGGGAAGGGCCCTCAGTCTGCCACCCTCATGGGTCTGGAGGCCTCCAGGGAGCTGGCCAGCCCAGCTGAGGAGCTGGTGGGCAAGTAAGGTGTGAGACCTGGATGCCAAGCAGAGCCCACCTCCTTCCATTCCTCCCTTACACTTTCTCCTCCCACCTGCCCACCCTGCAGAGACTGGAGGAAGCATTCCAAGTGCTGTCCTGGGCAATGCTGGGTACCAGCCACTTTGGGACAGGTGGGCCGAGCCAGCTGGGCTCCAGGTCCTTCAGCATACCCCTTGAGGCCAGGGTTGTCCCCATGCCCTATAAGCCCTAGCCCCTCCTTCATCAACAGCCTCAGGGGAACTGAGGCCAGGTCTCCTCTGGGGTGGGGAGGAGCCCTACCCAGCTATGCTGTTACAGCCCCGGGTGGCCCTTTCCAGATAAAAGGTCTAGGGCCACAGAGGACACAGTGTTGCCCACACACCTTGTCCTTCCCCTGATACGACATTACCTGAGCAGTGAGTCTTCTCCCTGTAGTGTCCACCCCACCCCTCAAGATGGAGGCCTCCTCCCCTGGCTTACAAAGGTGTATCTATGACAGTCCCAGGTCACATTCCAGGTCAGCCCTCCCTCGGGCCATCTCTCTGCCTCTGAGGCAGCTTGGAAGGGCCCTGGCTGCAGAGCATGGACTCCAAGCCCCGCTCCACCACTTAATGTGTGACTCTGGGCAAGCCACTTAACTTCTCTGTGCCCCAGTGAGCTCATTCAAAAACTGGGCTGATCATAACAGTACCTACCTTGCATGGCTGGTGTGAGGATTAAGTGGATGAATACAGGCAAAGCTCTTAGAACAGTGCCCTGCATACAGTAAGCACTCTAGGTATATGTATTTTAAGATCTCTGGATCTCACTTTGTTCCTTCTGAAATGGAATACCAGGGCCAATTGCTTTGGGAGAGCAATTTCCCCTCTTGGCTCAGATGTGTACTGCCCCTCAGTTCCTGATGCCAGTTCAAAATGCCAGCTCTTCCCACCCCCCACTGGTTGCCATGGTAATTGCTGTGGAGCCTGGCCTCTGTGTGGCCAGGCCAGCCAGGGCTGGGAGGCCCCTCACTTGCCTGAGAGGCCTCCTGGGGTCGGAGACAGGGCTGCCAGGGGCTGTGACTCAGTGCAGACTGGGGAGGGGAGGGCAGGGCCCCGGATGGCACAAAGACATGGCTGAGCTATGGGGAGGGCTCCTGGGCTCCAGGAAATGCCTCGGTGTCAGGAAGAGGGGCAGGAAGGATGAAGGAGACAGGGAGGCAGAATGGCCTCCAGACCAGGAAGGAGGCCTAGAGGAGGTTGGGGGCAAGGAGAAAGGGAAAGGGCTTGGTGCCACCTTTTCCCACACAAGAGGCCCAGATTAAGGAAGGCCTTAGGTAATGATAATGGCGTGACACTCCCCTCGCCCCATACAGGTCATTCCAAATAGAAGCAATATTAATACTCTCAGTCCTACAAAATTCTGCCTTTCCTTATGAAGCTCTTATTTGAATTCATACATTTTTTTAAACACAGACTGTAATTATGTCGTGATCCTGATTATGCCTTAGCATATGCTTAATGTTTTAGATAACCCTCATCCAAATGCCAACCACCTACTGGCATAACTACCCACATCTGTGTGCTCAGCCAGCTGCCACCTGGCCAGACCTCTTAGGAGCAAGATCATGTTCCTTTCTCTGGGATGCTGGGGTTAAGGGGCTCACACCAGAAAAGGCATTTCCTGTGCTTCCTGTGGCTCTCATCTTCATCTGTTTGGCCTCTTCCAGCTCTGGCTATGGAGGAAGTTCTCCTACCAGGCATGCACTGACAGTCTCAGCTGTAGCCAGCAGGACTGAGGTCAGCTAGGAGGAGGCGGACAGCTGGGTTGGGATCTGGGGGAGGGGAGGGGTCTCTACTCCAGAAGATCAGACAGACACCAAAGGCTGATTTTGCCCTCGGCTGAGTCTTTTAGCCACACTGAGGGAGCAGCAAAGGCTCTCACTCAATTCACTATCTGGGGGCAACATGTATTCTCATTACCCAGAGAAATTTCAGACCATGAAGTGGGCAGACCTGCCCAAGGGCCAGGGAGGACTTGGCAAGGAGGGGGCCGGGGTAGCAGCCAGGGGAGGGCGCCAGAGCAGCATGCCAGGGGGATCAGGGCACAAGACTCTCTCTCTGAGCCACACAGGGGCAGCTCAGGGTTTGTGCCTGTGGCCTGTGATTTCCTGGCCCAGCCCACTAGGCCTTGGCAGTCATGCAGGGAATTCCCCAGAATTTCCCGACTTCCTCATCTATGAAATGGGGACAGTAATATGCACTTTATAGAGCTAATATGATAATTAAATGAGATGATAAACATAACAGGCTCAGTACAGCAAGTTCTCAGGAACAGAGTTCCTATAGCAATTCTGACCATGGTGGCTGCCGTGCTGGCTTCCAGATGAGGGCTGTGCAGTGGGAGGCACCCAGGAAGACGGAGGGACCAGGCTGGAGGGAGATAGGGGAACAGGCATGGAGATATCTCCAAGACAGCGCCCCTCCCCACCTCCAGTCTGTCCTCTCCAAAGAATCACGGACAGGCCAGGAGTGCCTGGCTCCTGTCAGCTCAGAGCAGCTTTGCATATGTGGGAATGCACCTAGTAGAGCGAGTGCTGTCTGAACACGTGCTCTCCTCTTGATGTCAACAGATAAAGCACCGTGCAGGCAGACTGAAGCCAAGCTACTGGTGTGGAAGCATCTGCAATGAATTACCCAGGCCAGCGGATGGTTCCGGAACCACCTGACATTGACATCAAGGAGAGAGGACAGACTGCTGGGCCAAGCCTAATCAGGACTCAGCTCTCTCTGTCCAGCTGGTGGCCTGCCCTCCCCCTTGTCAACCTGTGCCCTTGGCATGTGTATTCTCAGTTAATCCTCACTACCACATCATCGGGCACATACTGTTATCAGCCCCATTTTACAGAGGAAGAAACAGGCTCAAAGAGGTCAATGACAGTTCTTCAGTCTGCAGAGGTGAGGTATGAAACTGGCTAGGAGCCTGCCCCATGTTTTTTGGCCCTGGGAAGGAAATTCAAATAAATTCCTTCTCCAAATCCCACATATACTTCTGTCTAGAGAGGCCTGGAGCTCCCCTGATTCTCAGAAGGCCCCAGCCAAGTGTTGGGAGGCACTTGGCCCTCAGGAGCCACAGGATGGGCCCAGCCCAACACCCAACCCTCTCTGAGCACCCGAGTGGGGTTTAGCGTCTGCTTCGTCTCTAATCCCAGGCCCAGCACAGGCCTGGCACCAAGTGGGCACTGGGTGTCTATGAGCCAGTCATAGGTGCGGCTGCCAAGAAGTAACAGTGCCAATGTCAAGGGAGGTAACGGCTGTGATCTTTGCCTCAGGCCTGGTCAAAATAGGCCTAAGTGAGAGCCAGAGGGCTGCCAAGGCCAGCAGTGGACTGCCAGTAACACAAGCTGCCCTGCCCAGGCGAGCTGGTGGGTGGGGGAGGCCAGGACAGCAGGCCCCTCTGCCCTGGGACATGACTTGGAGGGTTTCCCAGGGTACGGAAAAAAGCACTTGGCTGAACTCTGTTGTTAAAGGCAAGGCCCACGGCCCTGAGGCTACCTCCTGACACAGGAGAGTCTGTCCCACAAGACCAGAAGGCTACAAGGCCCAGAGAGGACTCAGCCCTGACACAACACTGACCCAGCCTGGCAGGGGGGCCTCTTTGGAGGCTGGCCACAGCAACTGCTTCCTGAGCATCTGCTGCGTGCCAGGCATTTGACTCCCTCCCACTAGGAACTCCTTAAAAAGGTTTAAGAAGTCAAGAGCATGGCTTATCCCTGTCTTAAGGATTGGTTAAAAGCCTGGAGACTTCCATGATAAGATCTGCTTGTAGGATTCAGCTTGGATGACATCAAGCTAATCCCTCGCCAGTTTTTACCATGTGTGCCAGGTCCTGTGCGAAGTGCCTTGCAAGCATCATTTCCCTACATCACCTCGACCACTGCATGAAGTAGGTGTTATTGTTATTCCCATTTCACAGACAAGGAAACTGAGGCCCAAGGAGATTACATTTCTGGTCCAAGGTCACACTGAATGGGACTGGCAATTTGGACCCAGGCCATCTGGCTCCAGAGCTGAGCCCAAGCACTTAGTCTCAGTAAACGTCAGTATTTCTGAAACATTTCAATGGTTTATGGGACAAAAGAATCTAAAAGAGAATAGAGATGGGCTAGAAAGGAATCCCAGGTCTGGTAGCGCCCTTGCCTGGTCCTAGCCTTCCCTTCCTCCTCTGCCTCTGGCCCCCTAGCCTGGAGTGCCCAGCTCACCTCACCACAGGCTCTGGAATGGCCTCTGCTCCGGCGGGCACCTGCACGCCCTTCTCCCATTCCTGTCGCCATGGATCCGCCAGGATGTAGTAGTCATCCGGGCTGAGCTGGTAAGAGTCTGGGATCTTCATAGCTGTGATCAAGTCTGTCCGGAAAACCTGTTGGAAGCAAGGGTGCAAAGAGTGGCTTCAGCCTGCCTCAGGGTGGTCTGCTCGAAAGACCAGGGAGGAAAAGGCAAACTCCGGGGGTCTTTCTGCCCACTTGCTTAAAAGTAAGAAGACAACACAAAAGCAGTAAGCACAACAACGCATCTTCTCTGAACCCAGCACAGTGCTTTGCACACAGTGGATGTTCGAATAAATGCACTGAATTGAGTTCACATGTGTTCTGACCTATTCAAGGACACAGTTTGAGTGATGGATGGGAGTGCACCTCAGACGGAAGAGGAAAGACTTGTCGAGAAAGGCAAAAAAAAGATGAGGAAAAATCAGATGGCAGAAAAGCTTCTGTGAAGACAATACTCCCATTAAGTGACTGTTCGGGGAATTTCCGTTGAAGGCTTAAAATTATGTTTGTAGTGGCAACCACAGGCACAAATGGAGGACACCAACCCCAGGCGAACAAAATGCCAGGACCTTACGCAAATAACTGAGAGAGAGGCTGGGGTTTGGGGCAGCCTAGAGAACAGCATCCCATGGGTCAGGGTCTCTAAGGTTCCTCAAGAACAAGGACACAATGTCCCCTACTTGGCAAGGGCTCCACAGGACCATCCTCTGTGTGTGATGGGGAAGAGGGAAGATGGGGTTGAATTCCTTCTCAATCAAGCCCATCCAAATCTCCTCAGAGCCAGACAAGGAGTGGCTGCCGCCTCATGCTCTGGTTTTCTTCTGAGCACCTGCTCCTTGGGGAAACTCTCATCCCAACGTTCTGTCTGCTGCCCCACCCCACCCCAGAACAACCTCCAGGTCCAGCCCCGGCAGCACCGGCAACACCTCTCTTGTCCCAGCTGCCTGACCTCACAGTGGCTCCCACCAAGGGCTGCTGTGGGATCTGGTGGCAGGTCCAGACACTATGTGACTTACTTAGGTACAAACTCTCCCAATGATCATCACATGAGAGTCATAAGTTAAAGAGTTCACATCACTGAGACAGGAGAAACCACTTCAAGGAGTTCTCCAGGCCTCAGACCAAACTTCAAACCCACCCCTCCCCGAAAAATCAGCAGCCACTGGCTCTCCAGAGGCTCGTGACAACCCATGCAGTGGTAACCTCTGCCTGCTGGGGGCCCAGCTCACTGGCTGTGTATGTCTCATTCAAATCTCAGGCCATATCCACAAGGAAACAACTGAAATGGGGACACTGAGGGGGCTCCAGGCAGCATCTTGCAGAAATCTAATTAATGTGTGCATCTAGCTAGAGAGGGCCCTGGCTTGGAAAAGGTCAAGTTTCTTGAAGACTCTATTTGCCAATATAATTTAATTGTTAAGACTAACACCCTAACATTTAATTAGGGTGCCAGTGTGAAAAAATTAAAATGAGATTACGATTAAATGCTAATTAAACAGAAGATGGAATGTGGTAAAGATTTCACAGCCCTGATAATTTGCATATCTTATTAGTAAGCAATAAGACAGCTGATACAAGAACACAAACTCAGACACTGAGTGCTTTTGCGGTGTCCTTCAGCAGACCCCCCTTGCCAGCTGAGGCCCTTTCCAGTGAGGCCTCTGCCAAGCCCAGCAGGGCCGGGGCTGGGTTATTTCCCTCCGGGCCACAGGACAGGACCTGGAAGGGGTGAACTGAATTCACAGTGGACTCAGGACTCCCTCAAAGTTCTCCTGACTCATGCAGGCCAAGTGGTGTGACAAGCAGAGCCCTGTTGCTCTGATGCCATGGGGAACCACCCACCTGGGACAGTCCATCATCTTGCCCAGGAAATCAACCCTTCAAGCCTCTGGTATCACAGCATGCCCCTCCAAAGAGGCACAGGTGAGGGTGAAACCCTCATCTGGGGCTTTAGTTTAAAGGCCACCTCCTTGGGGATTCCATCCCTGATGACGGTGACTCAGGGAGTGCTGACTGCCCGACAGAGCCACTTTCCATGTCAGCATCCTGCCTCACTTCCTGGCACTTACCCTCTTGAAAATTAACTGGTGTACTCATGTTGCTCCTTTCTTGTCATCTCCCCCGCCACACATTCTCATGCCTGGCATGCTGACTGGCACACAGCAGGTGCTCAGTAAACAGCAATTGAGAGAATGAATGAATGAAAGAATGAATGAATGAATAAAAGGGCCTCTCTGGGGAATTATCTGATGAGTCTGTTGTCCCCAGCTGGCTCCTCGGCAGTGCTTTTTGAAGCCCCATTAACAGGGTGAAACACCTCATGGATATACCCAGAGCTGAAATCCCCAAGCACATGGACAGGAAGAGAGTAACAGGCAGCCTCTGGTCTGCAGGGCTCGAGGCCTAGGGACCAACGCACTGCCCAAGCTGGAGTCGGAGACAGCAGAGTGCTACGCCACACCATGCCGGCGCAGGAGAGGAAGCCCTGACCTAAGAATAGGCTTGGCACTAAGCACTCAGAGCAGGAAGGGATCCCAGGCTTTACTCGGGCAGGGAGAGTCAGGAGAGAGGAGAGTCTGGTCCCAAGAGTTCCAAGTTTCGTCCTGGGTCACTCAGGGAGCAGGTGGCAGAGTGGACACCAGAGGCCCTTTCAGGCAGAGGACTGATGGAAGCACAGGGGGGCAGCACTACTGGAGTAGTCCTGGCCAACACTTAAAGAGCGCTGAGTACCAAGTATCAGTCTAAGGGCTACTCTTGAATTAACTGATTATTAGTCCCTACACGAACTCTGTGAGGCAGATGCTACCATCATCCCCACTTTAAGGTTGAGAAACCTGGGACTCAAGTTGGTTAAATAACGTACGCAAGGTCCTACATATTGAAGTGGCAAAGGAACCCAGGCCAAGACAACTCTGGAGCCATCCAATACTCCCCTACAGCCTCCTGCCCCTGCTGGCCACGTGCTCATTGCCACTGCCCTTGGGTTAACCCAAAGTCAAATCAGGTGGCTTCCCCAAAGGCTCAAATATGCAAATCAGATGGTGGCCTTTGCAGTTCTAAGCCCTCGGGTGCTTTTCTCTGTCTTCCCACTGCCCTCAGGCTGAGCTGCAGGGCCTACCAGGGGATGCACTTGTAGTCCCCTAGCACTTTTCAACCTTTGCATATGGGAGGACTCTGCTGGGACACTTCTCCTTTGCCAAAGTGGGGTAGCCTGTTTCATCCTTAAGTCTGGCCCACATCTGCTCTGGGAAGTCTTTTCTCCGATCCCAGGCTGGGTTCTGGGCTTCCTCTGAACTCCCACAGCCCCTGTGTTGGAATCTCCTGGTTTCTTTCCAGGTCTTCCCCACTAGAAGGTGAGCTCAGCGAGGTCTGGCTGGGCCACACAGGGCCTGGCACATGTGAGCTGCTTAGAAGGCTGAATGACTCAAGTGCCTTCCAAGGATCTGCCACCACCTTCCTGGGTTGCTGCCCAAGGCTATAGCTGGGCAGCTGGGAACTCTGCACCTTCCAAAGGAGCCTCTGCACATTTATGTAAAACTTGTCCACAAATATGGCAACTCGACTGTAAAACCCAAACATCTTTTTGTTTTGAATTGCCAGAGGTTGGGCTTGAAAAAAGACTCAATTATTCTCCTAAAACGCCTTTGAATTATTTATGAAAACTAAATAAAGAATAAAATGGACACTGATGGACTGGAGGCCTTGCCATGGCAAGAAAGTTGGAAGCTGGAAAACAAGCAATTTTCAAAGAATATGAATGTTTACTATTTTTCTCTTTTGGCAGAGATTGACAAATTGTCTTTAAAGGTCTGCTGCCTGGCAACCAAGTTCTGCTGAGCTGCTTGGGAGATGTTGATTGCAGCTTCTTCAAACAGTATGAAGGATGTTTAAAGGTCTAAAACTCTAATTTAAGAACCAATCTGAGCACCAGGGATGCCAATGCAGCTCTGGTGGGAGCTGAAGACCCTGCTGGGCCCAGGAGTAGGAGTCCACGGCCTTGACCTCTGGTTCCTTTCCCCAAGACTGAAGACCACAACCACTGAAAAGTCTACTTAGCTTTTTGCACCTATTTCCTCAGTTAGAACCCAAAACAGGTTTTGGGTTGATACCTTCTGCCAGAAGGTATCAGTGGAGTCTGATGTGATCATCAAAAGCAAAAAGACAATGACAACAAGCAACTTTCATCACGCTGTGCTAAGAGCTCTCATATATGGTCACAAGCTTTGTGGATGTTATGTGAACACTCCATCCTGGGACCTTGGTCTCTGCTTCCTCTTCTCAAGGGCAAATTATTGTATCATAGTGTGTTTCAGACCAAGAGGAAGTTCAGTTACTTAAGGACAGGCTCCAGCACTTAGCACAATTACAAAATATGATTATTTGTTTAACGTCCATCTCCTCTAATAATCAAGCTGAGAGCGGCAGAGACTTCATGTGTCCTGTTTACTATTGTGATAGTTTGTGGCACAGTGCCTGGCACGCAGCAGGTGCTCAAAAAATGCTTGTGGAATGAGTGAGTGAATGAATGAACCCCAGGATTTGTCTGAGGTATGACTGAACTCTGACACTTGCTGTCCTGCCTAGCAGGGAGGATGGAGGCAGGGGGTTGGCCCAAAAGACTCTTCCAGGCGGACTTCAGGAACTGATCTTGGTCGATGAAAATGGCTTTGGCCAAGGCTGCCTCTCCTTGACCTCTGTCCACATCAGGAGTCCCAGTGCAAAGCTGGGAGTGGCACCCTCCCCCGAGTTCCCCACAGGATATTTGAGGGTCTGTCTTGAAAGAGACAAGTGAAATTACTACCAGATACTTCATTTTAAATCACAATTTTTTTCCTGAGCATCTCGTCTCATCAGAAATAGCTAACGGCGAAAAGTAATTGCCCCGTTAGAGCAGATACTGTGCTGAATGCTTTATATATATAGTCTCACCTAATTCATATTACCCCCATTTTACAGATGTGGAGACTGAGACTTAGGGAGATCAAGCCACTTGTTTGAGGTCTGCATTGTCCTTTAACCACTGCAATGCTGCCTGCAAACCACCAAGGTATTTCTTCTTTTAAAAAATCTCTCCTGGGCTGGAACCTGATAA